ATTCTTGTTTTACAGGACAGATTGTATGTTAGAAGTATTCCACCATACACCGTAGAGTCAGTTGTAGTTATGTGTATATTACCAAGTTTACAATGACAGTTATACCCCTTGCGTTTTGCTTTGGTGAACACAAATATTGCACTTTTTGATGGATTATATGTTAGGCGCCACCTTGAGGCATATGTATGTACAATATCAAGGAATGTTTGTAAGCCTCTCGGTGATTTGCTAATAAGTGTAGTATCGTCGGCAAGCAAGACTGCACGAATATCCATACCATATGCACGAATACCACATTGTGTTTGTCTGAAGGCTGTAATGAGGTCATTTATAAAAACAAGAAAAAACCAAGCAGAGATTACTCTGCCTTGGCCAACACCTTGTTGAACCATATATGTGTCTGATTGTTCACCTTGGTAGGAAATATAAGCATAACTATTTGTATAAAAATGATTTAGTATTTTCCATGTATTACCCTTAATGCCCAGTTTATGTAGTTTGTAAAATAATCCATCGTGCCACATCCTATCGAACACTTTTTCATTATCTAAGAAAGCTGCATAGATTGCAGAGTCCCTGTGTATGTGATACTGAATGCCTTCGATCAAAGTAAATACTGGCATAATAGCTCCATGCTCTCTTCTAAAACCAAACTGTAGCATATCAGGAAAGTCTGGGTTAAGCCTACATAGTTTGTCTTCTATACGTTTCAGCAGTATATTTTCAAAGAGCTTACAGAGACATGATGTGAGAGTAATGGGTATCAATTAATCATCAATCAATCCGTGCATGGCATAACTGACATGCCGTCCATGGCCTCCATCATATTGACCATTAATAAGGATGTCATAATATTCACCATCCATCCTCATATTCGTAAATATCCTTGAGCTGAGGAGATACCAACAGGTAGGCAATTAAAACAATGGACAGTTTGTGTAATGAAGCAGGTATGTAGAGAAGATGATAGTGGTGTGAGGTGAAGCCCTGATTCAGTAAATATTTTGGCTCCACGTAGATGACAGAGTGTATGATCCATAGCTAGTAGACATACAATCTCCAATTTCACATCTGGAGGGGTTGGTTGTGGGGTGTATGAAAATTGAAAATTGCTGGAGGTATCTGGATGCAAATGTTCTTCATGAATTGTTTCTAGTAAATAATGTTAGCCTGGGGATATCAGGTAGCTGTAGTAATATTCTGTGTTAATTTAGCTGTTATTTTACTCTTAAAGCTGAGTTCTCTGGACATGTACTTTTGGAGATTATTTTTATTTTTCATACATATTTCCTTTTAGATCTTAAGTGTATTGAATGAACAACGATCAGTCCTGGTTTGATGATATCCTTAAATATGCTCTTCATATTCCCAGTTTGTTCTAGCCTAGTGGTTGAAGCGTTTGACTGTTGTTGGAATATTGCTGAAAGTGGCATAACACCATTCTCATTCTGACAAAAAAAATCATATTTGCTGTGAAAATATCTTTGCTACTACATGTTAAACACCATTTGAAAGGTCTGATCTTATGGTTTATAAATATCAAATAAAAAATAAAAAATGTTTGCTAACGCGTTGATAACGTCCAGGAAGCGAAAAATTGACCATTTTCATCAAATATAAGATTTAATCAAATCCACTTACCTATTCTGTTTTATTTTCAATGTTTACCTAATTGGAAAATCATTTTCAAAAAATTATAAATAGCATCTATCATCACCCATTGCCCGATAACAGCGGCTGTCCGCTCAGTAACATGAAGAAATACCCCCATTTTGAGGCTTTGTATGAATAACAAGTTCGTCGAAGACTGGCATATGACACATCCCGAGAAAGCTTATTCCTTCATCTACCCGATCGTAACATCGTCAAATTTGAGCACGTGACCTAAGGCAGCAAATCAAATTACAGCTATGCTACTGCCTCTTGTATACTATAAATTTCAGAAGTTGACCAAAGATCTTTCTTAAATCATGTTATTCTGAAACGTTTTAAGCAGGAAATCACGATATATTATAAAAGTAATGAACTTCGTGAATGTATCATGCAAGGTTACGAGATGTGACAAAGCTTTTTCATGCTTATATTTTTGAATTAAACATTGTGTCAGAGCCGAGAAATCAAGGCAATGAAAGCCGAGATGTGATTTGACTTACATTACACACAATCGCACGAAAAGATGAAAAAAATAACATAGATGTAAGTTTGACAACTTTTAGATAAATATTTGTTGGTTTTATTTATCACTTTGTATAATATATGAAAAGATTAGCTTGAAACGTCTTTATTTTACTCTAGGGCATATTTCATGGGTGCCCGTTGTCAAAGTGTGTGTCCGAGAATTGTATTTTCAATAATATTACGGGAAATAGTGAACAATGTAAAATGATAAATTTACATGGAATACATGTTTCAGACATTGTGAAATGTGATAGATTTAATAAATGAATGATATGACAGGTAGGTTCATAAAAATATATTCTATTTTGACGTTACTACTGCGTGGCCGGTAAACCGGCCTACGGTGTCTGGTGACTCGATGCTTCTAGGCCAGTAAACCGGCCTTCGGTGTTGAAAGAATTGAGTCAATTATGTTTTGGTAGTGAACCACAAAAGTCATTCAGATTCGTATAGTCAGCGTCGGTGTACACCACATAAACAGTCACACTGATGTGGTATTAATTCCTTCAGACTTGATTGGCGTCGTACTATAACAGCCAACAGAATCACACTGATGTGGCATTCTTCCTTCAGAATCATAACTTTCTGAGGTGAATCTGTTGACAGTTCTGGGGAGGATTATTCATCATCCAGTGAGTCCTTTTTTATACCCACGACAAAATGTCGGGGGTATATAGTTATACCAAGGTTCCGTCCGTCCGTCCGAAACTTTGTCCGCGCGATTTCTCTTAAACTATTCCGGGGATTCATCTCAAACTTAGTACATATAATGTGTGTCATATGGAGTGGTGCAGTCAAAGGAATTTTCCATTTTTTATGAATTTTTCAAACCCTAAGGTCCGTCTGAAAACTTTGTCCGCGCGATTTCTCTTAAACTATTCAGTGGATTCATCTCAAACTTAGTACATATAATCTGTGTCATATGGATGGGTGAAGTCAAAAGACAAAAATTGTTTTTATTAATGTTCCATTTTTTAATGAATTTTTCAAACCCTATCCTAGCTATTTAATTTGTAACCACTGACACACTAGGTAGGTCGGGCGTATTAGTGAGCCACGCTCACTTTTGCACTTATTTTACATGTCTGAGCAGGATCTTCTTAAATGTAGCTGAAATCCAGGTACCTGAAACTATACATAACATCTTAGGAAGCTTGTTATTAAAAAATTAAGAAACACACATATATTTACAAAGGGTAAACAGTTGTTTTATCGAACAGTAAGGTTATGACAATCTATCAAGCAACTGATATTTGACAATGTTAACCAATCTTAGAACACGTAAATAAGCCATAGCAAACTGTAAAGTGTACAGAAAATACAAAATTGTATCCGATCTTCTAAACCAATACCTGTAGTGCTACAAGGCTCATCTGAATATTTCTCAAATGTTTACGTTACATCAAAATATAAGGAAGGGTAAACAAAGCAATTCAAAAATATGTAAAATAGGTTCTTATACATAAAACAGAACTATTCATAATTATCAAAACTTTCAATCACACAAGTCATGAAAGTGATCTCAAAATACCATATAATGAGTGAGCAAGTTGGTATAGTTTCACATGGCTTTTAGCAATATTCAAGCAATATCACTATGGGGACACCAGAAATGGGCCCCACTCACAGTATCCATGTGGGGAATAGAGCCCAGGGCTTCAGGAGAATGTTATACCCACTAGGCTACCCCACCCCACCCCCATCCCCACCCCCCAAATACAAAAGAAAGTAACATTAGGATTTCATACAACCAAATATCAAGTCACTGTACAGCTGATTGAATAACTGATTAGAGGGCAAATACATTTCAATGTGGCAGCTGAATCAGGCTTAATTTGAATCGTTCCTTGCTTCAGTTGCAATTGGAGCCACACTAGAAATAAGTATCTTACTAATTATGGATATTTAATATCTACCATTGATTGGTAGGCCAAAATAGACACTGATAAGAAATTCAACTGTAAAAAACAACCGGAACCATCAACTTAAAACTATGTATATATTGGTCATGTACCGGTGTGTTCTTAAACACGTTGCAATCACCAAGAAAATAGCAAACAATCTGGATGAATACATCTGTCCTAACTGTACCACAGGAAAGGACAGGGTATCCTAGAGGAAAAACTCTAATGTTTCAGAAAAATTGTATTCCAACGACGACGCCGCTCCAGCGAACGTCATGGAGCTAGGAGCAGGGACGCTTCTACTTCCTACTGGGCTGGCGTTTTTACCATGTATTTTTTTGTTTGATAAAAGCTTTTTATGATCAAGTTCTAGTTTTAAAATAGATATCTGTGATAAGTCTAGTAATTATACTGTCTTTTGATGACAGGTTTTAATATAGTCTAAACTGATGTTTTCTTAACGTATAAATTGTTTAAGTCACGATATGGCTGAAATATTGCCAATGTGACTATAAATACTCACTCACACACTCACTCCTACTGGGCTGGAGACTTATCATCCACGTCTTCGGGCTCCCAGACCAGCTTAAGGAAGACGGTCCCCTGTCTCTCAACGTGAAGCTGCCTTCAGTTGCTGACGATCTAGAGCCCGTTTTTTATATTGTGTCGTCTGTTATAATCTGCTTATTTTATTGTTCTAAAACTAGTTTTACAATTAGAATCTGTGATATTTTTGCTAGTTGTTATACTGTCCTTCGACGACAGGTCTTAAGATATTATATAAATGCATAACTTGCTCAAGTCACGATATGGCTGAAACAATGCCAATGTGACTTTAAATATTAACTCACTCACTCACTCACTCACTCACTCAACGTGAAGGATCCATGTCAGATCGACCATAGATATCCCCGGAACATGTCTCAGGAAGTCACCTATCCCAGACATTTAAGGATAGTGGATATCAGATCCAGGCCTCACACTCCGGGAAAAGAAGCACTGATGATACCTTCAAGGAAGCGATCCTGTCAGAGCCCGGATCGACGACAGGTGGACTCTGTCGTCCATCTTCCTGTCGCCAGCTCGGAGCAAAAAGTCCAGCAACGCCCGTCCAAAACACACTCTCGAATGGGCCTTCATTTTGCAAGCTCCTCACAGCGATATCCTGTTCGCGGAGCTCTCTATACTAGAGTGTACGAAGGTGGTACGCACTGGTAAGGAGCTTGATCGTTTTGTTGCAAAGAGCAATAACTCTCCTTTTGAAATGATATAAGCGACGGTCCAACCTGTCGCATCCGGTCTGGTTCTCGGATCAATGCGCGCTGCAACAACTAGTGACATGTGGAGACGGAGCCAAGCTAAAGCGTTTCCCTGTTGTCTTCTTCAACCAAAAGACGAATCGTTACGATGGAAGAGAGCAGAGAAATCACCATGAAAAACGGTATATTACCACGGTATTTTCTAGGCCAGAAAACAGCGAGGCATTCTATTTTATTTTACCTATCTATATTGACATAACATGCAATTCGGCAACGGATAATGACTGTTAAAAATTCATGCATGTGTAATCTAATACTAGCACACATGCACAAGTATACCAAGATATCAAATAAAATAATAACGGTCATTGTGCAATGTAGATATCAATTGGTGTAAAAAGAAAAAAAGAATAACATTAAGGCTACTGACCACTTTACGTTGCATAAGACCTACACATTTGGCTAACCGCATCGCCTTACCGCTGTACAGTTATACATGCATATGATGTAGCCTGCTTGGCGATACTACAACCAGAAACTCTTCCTTGGGGCAGGTGTCGAAGTTGGCAAAAGTGAGTGAGTGAGTGAGTATGGTTTTACGCCGCTTTTAGCAATATTCCAGCAATATCATGGCGGGGGACACCAGAAATGGGCTTCACACATTGTACCCATGTCGGGAATCGAACCCGGGTCTTCGGCGTGACGAGCGAACGCTTTAACCACTAGGCTACCCGACCGCCCAGATGGCAAAAGGATGACATACATCCTACATATACTTCATGACCTACATATTCTTCATTTTTGTCTAAAGTGCCATTTTCTGCAGAAGTCTTAGTAACTCTTATGCATTTAGTGGTTATATCATTTTCATATTTTTGTCAATCTTACATTGAATTCCACCAAAGGATATCATATTTGGTTTATGTGCTGGATAGCTCTTTGAAATGTTTTGAGATATCTGTCATTGATATTGAAGGTCAAATAATTCACAATCAAAGTCAAACGTGATAACTCATGAAGGGTTGAAGGGAAGTGTAAGGTCAATATTCAATTCAATTCTTTATTTCAGTATAAAGGCCATAGGCCCACGTACAAATATTCATTGAAAAATACAGTATGAGGCAGATGACAGAGGGTATTAAGTGACAGTATTTCGGATTGCAAGTGCTTCCAGTATATACTTAACACAATAAGTTACAATAATAGTGCGGTTACAAGATAATAGTGTATTATATTTAAATAAAGTAGGATTGGAAGAGTAATAAATAGATAACTACTTATTTCTTAAATATCTGTAACATGGGCAGACAAGCATAAAATGAAACTCATCTTCAATTTCCTGTAAATTACAAAATCTGCACTCCCTATTACAGTGCTCTATACCGCATCTTCTACCTAAATTTACCATCAATGGCAATTCGCCAACTCTTAACAAACAAAACATACGTCTGTAATGACCACTTGTGGTTTCACAGAGATACTTTTCAACTGTTAGCAATGACTTATATTCCTTATACATCGATAATTTACGTATTTCACAAACTTTACAATACCAGTCCTGTTGGTTACAGTATTTTAACCTTTGAATAAATGCATTAATAAAGAGGGTCTCGTTACCAACTTACTGGGAAATCCATTACTGAATAATAATCTTTTGACACAAGTTACCCATGTAGTGCGATTAACTTCATCTAAATATTTCAGCATTAAATAACATTGCTTAGGGTATCTATAACTGGGTAAAGATAACAATTTCAACCAATATTTAATTCATCTAGATCTCTTGTGATAATTAATAAATAATCCATATCTACCACATTCGCCAAGGGCAGCAACATTTGTACCATGACTTCCAATTCCAATAGTAAATTTATATTCAAGGCAATAGTGAAGGTCATTCATAAAGTATTTTTTCATTATCACTAAAATGCCTATTTCTTGAGATATTTGTGAAGTATCATGCATGTAGTATTATATGTTATATTATTTGAAATTCATGTATGAGCAGTCACAGTCACCTAATTTCAATGAGTAGCATAAGCCATATTTCATTGTTGCATATAATTCTGCCTAGAGCCTTCATTAGTGGCTTATTTTCTGGATAGACCTTTGCAAGTGTTTTTAAAATAGCCGCAACTGATATTGAAGGTCAAATTAAGTCCTAATGTCTTTCAGTAAAATGTTTCACAGTAACATGGTCACGTACGATAACGTCAAACGGCCAGAAACGTCGCTGACCTTGCACATACATTGCAACACGAGTGGAGGAACATTTCCATTTTAGTCATACCATGCCGCCAGGTCAATAGCAAATGATAGCGCTGCCTGCGACTATACGTGGCGTTTACCACTTCGGTGAAACCCACGAGCACGGGTATGGTGCTGACAAACCTAGAAACATAATCGGGGCGAACCGGGATTCGAACCCCCAATCATAGGTGCACAGCGAATCACGGCGCCTTAGACGACTGTGCCACCCGTGCCCCCCTGATAAAACAAAAATATCAAAATCTATCTTGGAAACAATCACTTAGTTGTAAACATTTTCCAAATTCACTACAATGACATACAATTAAGACTGACATACTACAGTGACATATACATTTTTTTACATGTTTTATTAAGTGTGATTACATATTCTAACGGGGGAAAAAATAACTGTACTTCATTATGAATCCATGATGATATTAATATGACATCTGTCAATACATACTCATAAAGAAATCTCCTCTACTTTAAGGCAACGATTCATCATTTGCACTTGCTTTTTTCCCTGTGTGTTGGGGGCATGAAAATCGTATGCGTGCTGTTTTAACATGAACATCACACACTGATTGTTTAGATGTCAAGTGCTCATAAAACACTTTTGTTTAATTATAGATAACGCTTACACAATTCTACAGCTTGCTGAAAATGAAATTTAAGCAACTTGGGTTTGTTTCAAATAAGAATGGTGTAAAATGGTGTTAGAGTTGCCAGAGATTTTAATGTTCACAAACTTATCTCTTTGGAGACGTTATCTGTAGCAGGGCACCTCTCATGACTTGCCATGGCCAGGTCGTCCACGTTTGGCGTCACGTCAATAACACAAGCAGTTTCGATTGATGCTTCCATGGATTGCCCCAGTTTATTAGTGGCAGAACCGGTTGATGGAGAAAAACATCTGGCCCCAACGTCCAGCGATACGTCAAATTTTGCTTCCACATCACCATCTAGCATGCCTAGCTTGGTGTAGACTGCATCTGAGGTTCAGAAGACTAGACTGGAACATATGAGTCAAGGTTTCATCTGGACAGATCTCAGAAGCATCCATGGGAACGTTTAGGTGACACTTTCGTTTTAACGACCTTTTTTTGCGAACACTTAGTGTCGTCACTGATTAACAGAGGTTCATTCATGTAGACCTCAGAGCTTTCTCTCTCTCTCTTTATGCAATATGGATTGTGTCTCAGCGGATAATAAAGACTGGTTATTCTCGTCTTTGACATTTTGTATGTCCTCAACGTAGTCGGTTTGGGGGTAAAAGTGAGATGGTATGGCATTACAATTCATGGGAGAACACAACTCATCCTCCTGGATGTTTTCAATTATCTGGTGTATTCAATGCCCCTCTGCTGCCTCGCTTATATGAACGCAAATGATGGTCTCACCCGATAGTGATATTATTAATTGAGTTCTTACAATACCCCTCTTTCTCCAAACATTATGTTGCTATTTTCAATTACATAACAATCACACCACTTTATATGAGGCAGAGTGATGTTTTGCCATTGGATCATTAATTGATTAACTTCTTTTTTTGACGGATTTGGAGTGAGTGAGCATGGTTTTACGCCGCTTTTAGTAATATTCCTGCAATATCATGACGAGGGACACCGGAAATGAGCTTCACTCATTATACCAATCTCAGGAATCGAACCAAGGTCTCTGGCGTGAACGCTTTATCCACAAGGCTACCCAACGGCCTAACGGGTTTGGAAGTAATATGGTACAGCTTGAGCTTGTGAATCCATTGCTACCACCTTTATGGAGAAGTCCAGAAATTAGGTCATGTGCTGGATATAAAGCTTTGATAAAGTTATCTCTGCATAACCACATCCAATATCATGCAACTGACAAGGTATTAAAATTTACTAAATTGAACACGCCCGTGCCTTATGGGTATTCCATATTCATACTTTTGGCAATTGTTAGCATGCACCGACACTCAAAAGTCACTGTACAGTTTCATATGATTGGATATGTAACTTGCCCAGGAAATGAGGTGCTATAACTAGTGTGTAAAGACGAAAGGAACGTTTTATCATTGTGTCTAAATTTAATTCCAATCTTCAAAGTCCTATGTCTGGAATACAGCAAAACATATTAAGAGAAGTAACTGTACATAACTGGAAATAAATAATTATGTGATCCCTGTTGCCTTCACCTCAGCTGGAAGTTATTAAGTGTCTGCTGTTTTACAATTTAGAAGGAATTGGTGGACATGACACTTGCTAAAGGAGAGTGGGTACAGTGTATTTCATCTATGCAATAGATCAAATAACTTAATGAGTTGATATTTCCCTGTTCACGGTTGCGTGGTTCGTTCTGCTACAGTGAGAAGATAACTTCGGATATTGAGTAGTACGTCAGAAAATGTCATCCTTTTTTACTAGTAGGCCACCGTTTACTGCAGTCTACGCTGCTAAAATGACAGGTCAAAGATCAAGGACATTGCCAGTCGATAGCGTGTTTCCTCCCTGTGAGTTGACTTGTGTCTGACATGTCCTGCCCATCGAACCAATCAGAGTAAGGATTAACACCCTGGTGAATCGTGCCCCCATTGTTCTGCAATGCCAGTAGCAGCTACGGCAGTGTCTGTGGTTGTGTTGTCGCTGTCGCATGGGTCTGTCCAACGTGCTCCATAAATTTGCTATTGTATTTAAATCCTTCGATCGGGAGGATC